GTTAGCAGCTGCACCATCAACAACACCACCGACACCAACAAGTAACAAGACCTCACACTCACAGGAGGCTGATGTTACTAGCATCAGCAATGGAGAAGTACAGGAGGGACATAAGTCCACAAAAGAGCAAGGAAGGGATGGAGAAAGGTGAAATTACCATGGTAAGAAAATAGATGAAAGGACATAATTCAGGAGATTTTCAAGGATTCTGGAAAAATGAATGTCTACTTTGACGATATGCCACCTAATCTCTAAAGTGTGGCTTTTAACTGTCACATGTTACATTGCAGTGCAACTAAGATATGCTAACCAAACAACAGATTTATCAATCTGATTGCTGATCCAATCCGTGACTTAGAACCGTGATCCGATCCGATCCGTGAGATTTTTGATCCGTTGCACCACTACTCGACACCACCAAACAGAGGCAGCAATATAACATAGCTAACATTAACAGTGCAGTGAATCCTGCTTGTGCCGTCATATTCAGGACTGCAAACCGAGCAGCATCACTGACTTTCAGCTTGTTGTGTTTGTGGATATATGACTGACTTTAATTATCCACAAAATCATCACATTCTCTGTAGGATTAAGGTCAACTAATGGACGGTGTATATTTTAAAGCAATTATTTTTGTTGCTGAGAATTTTAATTGTAATTTTTGTATTATAGTTTCTCAACAGTACTTGTTTGTTTTAATTTGTTTACTGGTTTGCATGCACTTTTTATTTAAGATTTGTCACCGCTACTGCACATCACTACCCCTCAGTCTGTGAGTGAGACGATAGATAGCCGTGAGGAGGAGAGTGTGAGTGCATTGCAAGAACATATGTTACCCGTACACGAAGCAGCGTCTGGCTGCAGTTTTAAAAAAGAAGCAGATACTAGCTAAGAGGAAAAAACGGATAAGCCCATCCAAGCTGAGGCATTTGATTTTTCTGAATATCAACCTACACTGAGGACATGCTGTTTGGCTAATGAGCTTGATTCTGTTTCAGTTCTCTGAATTTGTTTGCAGTGTTTTGTTTTTGTGTTAAATTAAAATGAAAAGTTTGATTAAAATATTAAACAAAAGTAAGAATGCCTGCTTTTGTAACAAAACAAATACACAAAATTAGGCAATAATAAAGCTTCTCATAAAAACACTAAATGTAAAACACAAAGCTTTCACATTTGCCAAGTAAAGCTAAAATATGAGGCTATGGATGATAATAACTTAGGATCCATTTGGGAGCCAAAAGAGCCAGCTCCTTTTTGGGAGCCGTGACAAAAGAGCCAGCTCTCTGAAAAGAGCTGAACTTCCCACTAAGTGGCTCTACTATGAGCCCCTCCCTGATGGCTGAATTCCTCATCCTATCTCTAAGCTTTTTCATTTAAAATAAATATGAATAAGGTTATCACAAATCAATAGGGAATATTTCACAGTACAAACACACAATCTCTCATATTAAACTGTTAAGGCGAGAAAATATCTCTGGGATGTGTAAAAGTTTAGGCTTTCTTTAGCTTGTTCCTAAAGCTCAGCCTTTCTCCGGATTATAATGAGTTAGCTAGCTTTAGTCTGATAAGTCAGCATCAAGACAGGTTCATCTGTGCTCTTGAATTAAACAAATAAGATTAAGTTGTATGCTTCAGTGGCACAATAAAAACCCATAGGATCTCCTTAGGTTAAGAAGGTGATCAGGTTAAGGTTTGGCTTATCCTTTCATTTATCAAGGAGAATCCCAAAGACGTTTCCATGGAATCTCAAACCCCAGCTACTGATAAGTGACCAACAAGAAGGCCCCAGGACAAGAAATGAATAAGTTCCAGCATACCCATCAGTTTGTAATCCAGTCTTTTATCAAAACAAATCCACATAAATCCTAATTAAAACAAATTGTCCTTGTGGTATTATCTGATTATTTTAAATGTAAAACCAGTCCAGGACATTTTAAAGGCCATTTTCTCCAATTTTAACCAGCTTCAACCTACTGCAACTGTGTCCCGCAACCTCCTTTCTTCCCATTTTCTCTCTCTTGAATCTTCTTTTCTCTCCCCTTTAAATAGAAGAGCTGAAATCATCACCAATCAACTACTCCCTGTATTCATCTTCAAATAGCTGGCAGCTAGACTAGAGTGAAATGTCCACTCCCACATGGGTGTAGCCTATATCTCACACAAAAAACAAAAGCTTGCAATAATTAAAATAGAAAATAATGCATCCAATGTTTGTTGGGAGATTCTCTCTATTATTCCACCATGCCACTTTCCACTACATTACAACAAGGATGTTTTTGCATGAATATAAAACATGCCTTTTTCATGTTCATGGGATTAGAAAAAACGGTTCTTGTGACTACACATGCTTTTAAACTCAAGTTATATTTTATTATAACAGCAATACAAAAACGAAGCACATGCATACATTTAGAATTAGTATAGATTAGTAACAACAAAATTCAAAATGATATTGTAGCTTAAGTAAAAGTTGATAGTAGTTATTTGCTACCGTTTTATTAATCATATGATACTCAAAGTCTGTATTGCAGAAAAGATATATTTGTATTACAAATTGAAATTGTCATTCTTGTTCACAAAGTTAAATCCAAATACCTAAAAAAAATAAAGTACCCACCTAATAAAGCAAAACTAAACATAACATATTTAAACACAGTATAGGAAGTAAATGAAATAATTAAAATCATGAAGCTCTGGATCTTCTTTTGGTTTAGACCCTTAAAATTAAAACCACAACAGAAATACAATGCAAATATCCCTGGTTGACATGAACCAAGAATGTTTGCATCGTAATCCTTTTACCTTTTCATTTCTCTCTAATTTTCTATCTACCTCAAGTCCACAACTAATTAAAAAGCTACTACCACTACAAAAGCAAAAAAGCAATCAGATTTTAGATACAGTATTTCCATTTTGTTTTAGTTCTTTATGATTAAAACCTTGCCACTGCTGGTTTGAATTACTATCTAAGTATCTCTTTATATGAGTGTTGTTAAGCGATGGCATATGAACCCTGTTTCTGGGTCCAAACAAACACTGTGGCAATACTGAGAGTTAAAACTGTCTATATTCTTTCATCTTTACTAAAATTATCAGTGTGGCTGCTCTACTAAGTATGACAAAGCAGTTTAACATCCAGACATCCATGAAAACAGCATTTATGAAGTTTAACAGAGTTTGAAGTTAGCAGGAAGTTCGAAGTTAGCTCACTAATTTCAACCTAAAGAAGTTATACCATATTCTGACTGAGGGATTTCTGAAAAATTAAAACGTAGAGCTCTGCTACCACTTCCGACATAAATCAAGACAGAAAACTAAACATTAGTGACCTTTATAGCGTTACTGAAGTTGGGATAGCTGGTATATGATGATGTGCGACGTGGTGGCTAGCTACACAGCTATGGTTAGCATACTATAAAAACATTAGCACAGTGAAGCTGGAGGATGAACGCTAACCTTCTTCCACTCGCTAAAAATTAATGCGAGGGTTCCCGATGGTTCGGGACAAATGCAATTGCATGGCAGGATGTTGTAAACCGACCAAACTTCAGTCAGGAGAACAGCTGAGATAATCCATCCACAATACGAGGTTAGTCATTAATGCACTGCTGCATGGGTTGGGCTGTAGTTATATCATAAGGTTTTAAAAAGTGCTGCCGATGAATAGGGCTAATAAAACCCAGAGACGGCAACAATGACCATCGACTTTTTTCAGGGGTTTGTTCAGATTAAATAGAACAAGATACAAAGCATGAAAACATGTTAAAACACAAGTGCCTTAATGAATTGGACCTGAAGCAGAGTTTGTATCCGGAAACAGCTAATGACTTCAGATGTAAAGACTTGATTGAAAGTCAAAAGTAAGCATCAGCATAACATTCAAAGAGAGAACACAAAACAACTTGAAAAATGTGACTGAAGATATCACGGGTGACCTGAAATATCAGAAATAAATTTTTTGAAATAATCAGAGAGATAAATGCTCAGCCATTGAGGACCAACAGTAAAATCCCCCTAAAATTTGCCTAAGACGTGTTCATAAAAAATGTTCACACTAGTGTTGTTTTTGTGTTCTTCACAAAAAGTCAGCTTCACTAAAATGGAGCCGTATATACACCATGGATTTAGAGCAACTGCTGGGTGGATCAGTTCACATTATTTAGCACAAAAACATTTTATCAGTATTTACCCAGTTACATTTTTTAATGTTGACTGCTTAAAAGTTCATCATGATGTTTTGTCACTCTCTCTAGCTCTTCTGAAACATCTAAAAAAATAAATAAATAAAGGTTAAAACAAAATAAAGCATTATCATTCTGTATATATATTTATCGTTAACGATGTGGAGATACTTAATGCTCAGTAATAATTATATACTTTAACATATTTTGTTTACCTGGGAGTGAGTTGTTGTCAGTCCTGAGAGAAAATTCAATGGATTCTGTCATGGCTTTCTCCAGATCCTCCAGGATGGTTCTCTAATTGAACATCAAAAACTTTATTGCTTTCAGCAGAGACTAACAGGTCAAAAACAGCCAGAAACAAAATAAAACAAGACAAAAAAAGAACAGGAAAAAATAGCAACGACTACATAACATACATTTTAAAATGTGACGAACCTTTAAAGCATCCACCTTCTCCAACATGGCATTTTTTGCTTCCTCATACATTTCCTTATTTGAGCGTACATGGCTCTTGATAATGGTCTTCATATTGTGTAATTGGCCATTTCCGCCACATTTTGCTGCCTCTACAACGATATAAAATTGGGCCAGAATAACTATAGGAATCATCATGATTGTTTATTTATTTATTTGTTTATTGTAAATATTCATTGTCTTTTTTGCTAAATTTCGATGCTTCTACAATGAGAGAAAAAATCAAGTAAAATGTCTATACACAATCAAGGTGAATACATTAAGAAGAAATAATTATTTCATTCTCTGCTGAATGAATAAAAGAAATTAACAGTCTCTAATTGTATGACTGTTTAATTTTAGTGGAAAGACAGAATATCAATCACAAATCTAGAAAAAAAACCCACATTATATAAAACATCTAAATTGATTTGGATGCCATCGAGTAAAATGGGTATTTGATTCCCTAAAACCCAGCCAGATCTGGTGCATGTTGCATACAGATTATAATTAATCAATCAATTGCAAATACTTTTGATCTTAACTCATTATGTATATTAAGCACCAAAGGTGGAAAGTAACGAATTACATTTACTTGCGTTACTGTAATTGAGTAGTTTTTTTGTGTATTTATACTTTTTAAAGTCATTTTTCAAGTCGGTAATTTTACTTTTACTTAATTATATTTTTTAAAAAAGCATTGTACTTCGCTACATTTTCAATCACACCTGTTACTGAGTAAATTAAAAGAACAAACCCCCCCCCCCAACATTACGCTTCGGAAATACTGCAGGGAATGATGGGTAATAGAACAAACTGGCGTTGGGTCACGATAAAGATGGAGTCTGACATCGGTGGTACGGATCTAGCGAAAAAAGAAACCCTGTCGAATTCTGCTGACCCTGAACTCGAAGAACCCCTGGCCGTATTTAAGGGACCATTTTGGCTTCAAGTGCAAGAAAGGCAACAGCTTTATTATGCAGTGTAAGCTGTGTTTGCCCAGAGAGACTGAGTTAGCAGCTTTTAAAAATTCCACATCAAACCTGCGCAAGCATGTAGAGGTAAGTTAAATGAAACTTGTACATTTATTTTAGCAAAAAGGCTGTCCTCAAGTTAATCACATTAAGTTAAGACATAAGCTGTTATTGGGCACGTTGTTGTCCACGCAACTTAAATTTTTTTTACTGGATTGGTAAATTGCGGCTACTTTCTTACTTAACCCACACATGTTCACGCTGCAGGCAAAAGAATAACATGTGCTGAGGTGTTTTTTTCTGTTCTCAAACTGATCTCCCTGTTGGAGCTCAGTCTGGGGGGAGTTATTTTTTTCTCCTTATCTTTCCTCATGTTGTGCATTTTCCATTGTTATACCTCTCTGACCTGTCTTCCCCATGTGATGTTTGTGTAATGTATGTATGGTCAGAAGAGTAAGATTGCGCTGGCAAAGGTCGGCAGCCTTAACCCAATTTCCTTCGGGGTCAACCTTCAGGATCAATAAAGTTTTATTGAATTGAATTGAATTGCTCCTCAAAATTAACAGAGCAGGGCCAAGTTTAAAAAATTAAAACACATTTTTATAGCAGCTGCCGTA